GTGCTTATCCCAGTCTTCATACATAGATACTGTCTTGGCCAGATTTAGCATGCAGGATTCCAAGAAAGGTATGTTACCTTTTAGACATGGAATACCTTTATCTAAGGAGATGTCTCCTAAGACGTCTAAGGAGATAGAGGAGATGAAGACAGTTCCTTATGCTTCGGCAGTAGGAAGTCTCATGTATGCAATGCTATGCACAAGGCCGGATATTAGCTACGCCGTTGGCATGGTAGCTAGATATCAAAGTAATCCAGGACGGGAACATTGGTCTGCGGTGAAGCATATACTCAAGTACCTGAGAAGGACTAAGGAGTACATGTTAGTTTACCGTGCAGACAGCTTGTTACCTCTGGGTTACAGTGATTCTGATTTCCAGTCAGATAGGGATGAAAGTAAGTCAACCTCAGGTTATGTGTTTACCTTGGGAAGTGGAGCCATTTCATGGAGGAGTGCTAAGCAGAAATGCGTGGCAGACTCCACCATGGAAGCCGAGTACATAGCAGCCTCAGAGGCAGCGAAAGAGGCAGTTTGGCTCAGGAACTTCTTAGTGGACTTAGAGGTTATACCGAGTTTGCCACGTGGTATCACCGTGTACTGTGATAACAGTGGAGCAGTAGCGAACTCAAAAGAACCTCGAGCCCACAGGGCAAGCAAACACATAGAGCGCAAATACCATCTGATTCGGGATATCGTTGGTAGAGGAGACGTTGATGTTGCCAAGATTGCATCAGAGGATGCATGGCAATAGGATCGACATAGGTCTTTTAGAATAACGGATTGATAGGACTATACTGTAAAAGCGAAAGCTTTAAGTATAAGTGGGAGATTGTTAGTGTTATATACTGAAAGCTTGGCTTTGCATGTTATTACACATTTACCCTTTATGAATGAGAATCATGTTAGATTAAACAAGTTCTACGTTCTGTTGTTCTGCACTTAGATAGGGTGGGTCGTCATCGGGCGAACCGAAGATCACTCTATCAGTCACTTGCGAACAAGAATAGTTGTTCACAACCTAGATGGACATGAACACCCCATCCGAACGGTTGTAGTGTCAACTGTACAGTTTGTCTTGACTGATTAGTTGCACTAGTACATTTATGTATTGAACAGGATCCCAGAGAGGAGAAGTTCATTTTATACTGATCGTCGTAAATGAACTAGGCCTCGGTTAATTACTGCGTTCTCTTAACCCGTAAGATATTAAACAGGCAGATATATATAATATATATTACTTTGATTCACATGGGTGAGGTTCAGTTCGCTGGATTAATATTCCTACTGTTTTGGGTAATATTATTATATATAGGATGTGCTGTTAGGATATTTACGGTCACCATGTGCGTTAGTTTGATGATGTCCCCGGAGTGAGTTCATGAAGGATTGTTATGCTAAACCCTGCAGGTGGATTAAATTCCGGCATAATAAGAATGTGATGAACGAGCGCTAGCTTCGGTGAAATAATAATAAATTAATTAATTCTTGATTGTCAGTAATCGAATTAATTAACGGACATTATATCTTAAACGTGGGGAGGTAAATCGAGTAATTATTATTGGAGTCTCAAATGTAATTTGGGCTAGGGAAAGGGAGTGCAATAATATAATGTTGGTGGCCCATTAATATTATTTAATTAGAGGAGTGGTTTGGCCCACAGTTAGTCTAATTAATTAAGGAGCCCTTTTCCTAATCTCCTTAGGGTCCCTACTGTAGCTCTATATATACATCATTAAGCTCATGAGAAGAGAATCCCAATCCTATTCACACGTGAATAACGTCGCCCATCTCTCTCTCTCTAGATCTCATTCGAGCTTTATCTTCTTCTTGTTGTTCCACTGGTACAAGTTGAAGAAGGGTGTATTGAGTAATACAGTAGAAGATCTGTAGGTAAAACGAGACGAAATATATTTTTCCCTACAGAACTAACCGGATGTTCGATTGAGACGTACAGTATACCCAGACGACCGTCTCGACGAGAGCTTTCCATCGCCGCCGACGTCGCCGAAATCCGACGCCGCACGCGCCCTCACGCGCCGCCGGAAGGTGTCTGACAGCAAAATTTCGTTTTGATCTGTTTGCATCCGTTTGATCCAGTTTTGATCTGATCTTGTTCGTGCAACCCAAGACGCGTGTTGCGGTCAATCAATTGCGGTCAACCGTTCGTGGTCAACCAGATCTACATAAATTTTAAGCCGTAAGTTCTCTACGTCAAACCTTTAGATCCGCTGCGCATAGGTTTACGTTTGCTATTGAATTCGTGATTTGTACATAACGAGATCCTCACAGATCCCAACACTCGACGCCTGTTCTAGCCATGCCAAGGTTCGATGTGTTGTTTGAGGTGCACACGGACGCGAGCGATGTGGGCATTGGTGCGGTGCTAGTCCAGGAAGGACGTCCCTTGGCCTTCCTTAGCAAGGCCCTTGGCACGACTCGACTAGGATTGTCCGTATATGTGAAGGAGATGCTCGCAGTTGTAGAAGCGGTACGATGTTGGTGGCCCTATCTCTTGGGGCGACACTTTCGGATCGTAACCGACCAACAACCGCTTAAGCATCTGCTCGAGCAACGAATCGTGACGCCCGAACAACAAAAGTTTGTCTCAAAGCTTATGGGCTTCGACTTCGAGATAATATATAGACCTGGTCGACAAAATGCCGTGGCCGACGCCCTGTCGAGGCGGACAGATGTCGCCAAGCTCGAAGCAATAACCGGATCAACATGGGTCATATGGGAAGAGATTAGAAGGGCTCAAGAGAATGACGCCCAATGTCAAGATTTGCTACGGGCAATGGAGGCTGGCGAAGCAGCGGTAGCCGATTACGAGCTTCACAGTGGTCTCGTGCTACACCGAGGCCGAGTATTTGTGCCGGATAGTGGGCAGCTCAGCGAGCAAATTTTGCAGCACTTCCACAACTCAAAAATTGGAGGACATTCGGGGTTCTATCGTACTTGGATGAGGATGGCCAATACTTTCTTTTGGCCAGGGCAGTAAGGCGCGATTCGAGAGTACGTCGCGCACTGCAACGAGTGCCAGTGCACTAAGGCTGACGCACGACGACCGAGTGGTCTATTGCAGCCTTTGCCAGTTCCCGAGAATATCTGGGAAGACATCACCATGGACTTCATCGAGGCGCTGCCTATCTCTAATGGGTTCAATGGAGTCATGGTCGTGGTCGATCGACTGACGAAGTACGCGCACTTCATACCGATCATGCACCCCTACACGGCAAAGTCTATCGCCAAGCTCTTCATTGAGTATGTCATGAAGTTACATGGGGTGCCACGCTCGATTGTCTCTGATCGTGACCGGATTTTTATGAGTAGCTTTTGGTCTGAGTTCTTCAAACTTCAAGGGACCAAGCTATCAATGAGCTCTGCCTACCACCCGCAGACGGATGGCCAAACCGAGGTGACTAACCGCACGCTAGAGCAATACTTGCGATGCTATGTGCACCAATTTCCGAGGAAGTGGGAGAACTTTCTACCATGGGCCGAGTATTGGTACAACACCACTTACCATGAGTCGACCAAGGCTACACCATTCGAGTTGGTATACGGGCGCAAACCACCTACGCTCGTAAATTATTCGGAAGGAGTTGCAATCAACGATGAAGTAGGACGAGAACTTGAGGAGAGAGACTTAATGTTACGAGAACTGAAGAGAACTCTCGAGGGGTCGATTAACCGCATGAAAACCTTTCATGACGGTAAAAGGCGCGAGGAAAGTTTCGAGCCAGGCGAACATGTCTACTTACAACTGCGACCCTTTAGACAACGCACGACGGCACAAAGAGCGGCGACTAAGCTTGGGGTGCGCTATTATGGGCCCTACCAGATTTTGAAGCGCATAGGGCAAGTAGCTTATCGCCTAGAGCTGCCAGAGAGTTCACACATCCATCCAGTCATACATGTCTTTCAACTAAAGAGAAGTTTGGGTGAAGCGCACAAGTGGTGCGAGGAACTACCCGCGACAGCCACAGACGGACGGGCAATCGTAAGGCCATACCGTGCGACCGAGTATCGCCAAGTGAAGAAGGCTGGACGTTATCGTTGGGAGGTGTTAGTCGAGTGGAAGGAGCTGCCAACGGAAGAAGCCACTTGGGAGGATGTAGAAGAAATGCGCGAACAGTTCCCTGATTTCATCCTTGAGGACAAGGAAGCGCTTGAAGGGGACGGGAATGATGCGGATGTGGCTAGGCAGCTGAAGAACGCCTCAAGCCGGGCCTATAATGCGCGCAAGAGGTTAGCGCGGCAGGCGGGCGAGACGCAGGCCATCGCGTGCGGGGCATGCGAGGCCAACGAGGGGGACCTAACGGGCAAGAGCGCGCGGCTAGCGCTCGGGCAAAATGTGGCCGCAGAAAGTGAGGCGAGTCGCGCGGACGCGGGCGATGCGAGAGGCGCGCGCGAGGAGGCTTCGGGTGGCAAGGACGCGTGCGAGGAGTCCGCTGGGCGCGAGGAATCGAGCGGAGCGTGCAGCGGGGAAGCACGCGCGGGGACGGGCGGCGCGACCTTAATCCTTGAGGACTAAGGCAAGGCGCGCGAGACCCAAGGGCGGCGAATAGGCGGTTGGGATGTTTGGCTTGGAGTGCAAGTCAAGGCTTGTCAAGATCCCTTAGTTATTTGGTTTCCTTATTCCATTATGATTTCTAGATTCTTTAGGACTTTAATATTTGGCTTAATGACGGGAAAATACACGACCTTTACGTGTTTGGCCATTTAATCACCACCTTTAGACCTTGGCAAATAAATACACGACCTTCACATTTTTGGCAACCCGATACCTGGTTTGGTCTGCCGTTAACGGAAATCCTACGTGGCTTGTAAAACTGACGGACACACCAAACGGGCGTCCCAGTCAGCGCCGAGGTGGCATAGTTGGGTAGTATAAAAGCCAAATGTGCCTCTAATTTTCCCCAAAATCTTCATTCACGAACGAGAACCCTAATTTCACTGCAAATCGAAACCCTAGATCATCGATTTGCTCGGAAATTCAGAGGGTGTGTATTCCATATCATCGATTTGCTCCGGAATTCAGAGGGTGTGTCTTCCATATCATCGATTTGACGTCATGGTTGCAAGGTAACTGCTCTTTCTCTCTTGAAATCTTTAATTTGATTTTATATTTTGTAGGGTTCGATTGTTAATCTTTTCCGATTTTTCCAATTTACAGCGATTTCTTTCTATTATTTATCAATCACAAGGGTAGGTTTGTGACTGTCGATGGGTATGAGGCGTATTATGGTGATTGTGTTGCCACGGTTACTGGGTTGGATGCAGATAGGCTAGGTTATTTTGACATTGAAGATGAAATAATGAAGTTGGGATATGAAAACTGGGGTAGAATATGTTATAAGCATCGGACAACACGTGAATTTAAAGATATAACAGATGATGCTGGTGTTATGGACTGTTTGGGTCAAATGCAGGGAAACAAAAGATATGTTGAAATATATGTGCAAACTGAACATTTAAAGAAACCGTGTGGGGTTGCTGTGTGTCAACAAGAAAATGGATCTAGGAATAGGGTATCTGAAGTTGCTGAGGTAGACCAAGCAAAGGATACTAGTGAGAAGCTGGTTGATACTAGTGACAAGCTGGTTAAGTTTGCTTTAGATGAAAGTGAGGATGAGGACTATGAACCATCTGGAGAATCTTCAAGTGATGATGGTTTGTCTGAGGAAGATTTAGGGACAGATGATGAGGAGTATCTTGAGGCCAGGAGAGAAGTTTTAAACTCTAGAAAGTCACAAGATGCTGGGGATGCAAACATTTCCTGTGCACAGCCATCTGCACATCATGAGGCTGATGACAGCATTACACCTGCAAGAGATATTGAGTCAGAATATGAAGATTCTGAAGGGAATGTGAACACTGATTCATCTAGTGGTGAGGGTTTTGATGATGATGATGATGATGAAGCAAGGCCTAAGAAAAAGAAAATTGTTTATGATGGTAAGGGGGATCTGCAGGCATTTCAATTTCAGCTTGGGATGTGGTTTGAAAGCATTGGACAATGTAAGAAGGCAATTCAGAGTTATGCAATCTATAATGGCTGCAACATAAGTTTCTTCAGAAGTAGTTCAAGTCAGGTTGAAGCTAGGTGTGAAGTGGGTTGTCCATGGAGGCTTTATGCTAGTCTGATAAAAGGTGAAGGTAGTGTAGCTATCAAGACCTTTGTCAATACCCATAGCTGCCATAGGGACTTGAACACTAAACAAGCAACTGCTTCATGGGTTGCTGGGGAGTATCTACCTATGATTAGGAAGAAGCCTAAGATGAAAATTTCTGACTTAGAGGATTCTATCAGTGAAAAATATGGTGTGCAACCCTCTAGGTGGAAACTGTACAAAGCAAAAACTAGGGCTCTTGAACTGCTTAGAGGTACAGAGGAGGAGCACTATGGAAAACTAAGGAGGTACATTGCAGAGCTTGAAAGGGTTGATAGAAATGGCACATTTCAGCTTGTCTTGGAGAGTGGCAGTGTATTCAAAGGTTTTTATGTTGGTTTTAGTGCACTCAGACAAGGTTTCTTGCAAGGCTGTAGGCCAATAATTGGTTTTGATGGGTGTTTCTTGAAGACCTTTTTAGGAGGTGTTTTATTGTGTGCTGTTGGCAAGGATGGGAACAACCAGATATTTCCCTTGGCATGGGCAGTTGTGGATTCTGAGAATGAGAGCAATTGGAAATGGTTTCTAGATATTCTTTTTCAAGATTTGGGGATATCAGATGGACTTGGATGGACATTTATTAGTGATCAACAAAAGGTTAGTTTTTGAATCATATTACAGGCATTTATATATATATTTCTTTATTTGTCTTGTCTCTAATATTTGTTCTTCTTTAACTCATTATGTAGGGACTCATTGCTGCTATAAGGGATCTCTCACCACATGCAGAACATAGAAACTGTGCACGGCATGTGTACATGAACTGGAAGAAATCTCACAAAGGCAGTGCACTTAAAAGCTGTTTCTGGAGGGTAGTGCATAGCACATACAAGGCAGCCTATAAGGAGGCACTTGAAGGGATGAAGGTAGTGGATAAAGAGGCTTATGAGGAATTCATGAAGCTGGAAAATGTCAGGTTCTGTAAAGCTTTTATCCTTGAGAATCCAAAATGTGATATGATACTTAATAATGTGTGTGAAACTTTCAACAGTACCATAGTGAAGGCAAGGAAACAACCTATTGTTGACATGCTTGAGAGTATTAGATCTTATGTAATGGAAAGGCAGCATCACAAACTTATGTTGACCAGTGGAGTAAAAGACACAATATGTCCTAGGATAAGGAAAAAAATTGAGGAACATAAGTTGAGTAGTAGGTTGTGTGTGACCAAACCTACAGTGGGTGAAAAATTTCAAGTTGCCATATCAGATGATCAATTTGTAGTTGATTTAAAGTGCATGACATGTAGTTGTAGAAGCTGGGATATGCTTGTTCTGCAATTCATTACATGAAGAGGGATGTAGTGGATTTTGTCAGTCCATACTTCTGTGTAGAAAGAAATTTGAGAGCATACTCCTTTTCTCTTGAACCATTAAATGGACCTAAAATGTGGCCTGATGCATCTGGGTCCACTGTCAAGCCACCTCCATTTAAAAAGATGTCTGATAGACCTAGAATAAGAAGGAGAAGAGCACCTGAAGAAGAGGCCAAGAGTGACACTAAGCTGAGGAGATTTGGACTACAAATGACTTGTCAAAAATGCAAGAAAATTGGGCATAAAATCAGGACTTGCCCCAATGAAGCTGCTCCTGCACAGACAAGAGTGAGTTAATTTGTTAGTGCTTATTTATGAACATTTATGATGCATTATGATAATATCCTTCTTGTTAAATTGCAGAAAAAGAGGGGGAGACCAAGGACAAGGGAGCAACATGTGGAGTCTTCTGCAAGAGATTGGAAGCCAACAAACCCAACACCAGTCACAACAACAACCCCAACACCAGTCCCAACAACAGCCCCAATAGCACCACCACAAGTACCACAAACACAAGCCCCAACAGCACCACAAACACAAGCCCCAACAGCACCACCACAAGTACCACAAACACAAGCACCAACAGCACCACAAACACAAGACCCAACAAAAGCCCCATCCACAAGAGCAACCACAACCAGAAGAGAAACCACATTCACAAGAGCAACCAGAACAGCCCCAACTACAAGATCAGCCACAGCTGCTATGCAACAGACAAGGAAGAGTACCAGGATCAGAAGTGTTGGACAATCATCTCAAACTGTGCAAGCTATTAGAGCAAGATATAGAGCAATGGTAAAAAAGCTAACTTTATTTTCTTTCATAAAGCTAAATGTCAGTTTAGTTAACTTATTGTTGTTTTCATTCTTTAGGCAAAAAAAGGATATGGTGTGATGGTCTCTGAGCAGACAGGAGACATTTATATGAGGGTATGCATCATTGTTTACCATATTTTTCCCTGTGCCAATTTGTTATGCATTTTTCAGAAATTTACTTAATTTGTTCCACAACTGCTTAATCAGATGCCAGGGCAAAGTAGAGTTAACTTTGTACCTAACAACAGACCCAAGAGATCAGCACATGGACAAAAGAAACAAACATCCAAGAATTGCCCAAGAGATCAGGGGACCCAAGAGAGTGTTTGCAACTTTTCACCTTAGTTGTCATGGATATGTACTGTTGTTAGGTTTTGGGGATGCTGTTTCTGAACTGCCTTGTTTTCTTATGTTTTTTGTTGTTGGACTGGAGATGCAGTTGTAATTTCTGAATTTGGATTAGATTTGATGATTTTGGTTGTGGAATTTGGATTGGATTTGACTTTGAATTGTCTAAGGATGGCAGCAAGACTTTTGTTAGTAGACATGTCTTCATTTTCAAGTTGTTTGGTATTTAATATGCTTGTACACAGATTTGTGCTTATAACATGGTTGTGTAGTTAAATAAAGTAACTGTAAACCTAACCAAAATAAGCCAAAATGATCATTGTCAATATTAACATACAATATATTGCACCAACATACACATACACTGAAATAAACTTACAGAAAACATAAGATGATTCAAAAAAATAAATTCCATAACAACTGCAAAATATCCAAAAGACAGCATCAGAAACTTAAAGCTAATTCAACATCAATAAACCATTTTCCCCTTTACCCAAGGAAAAAAGCAAAACAACAAATAACACAACTGACACACACACAATACGGTTTCTGAAGATGTTTCTCTTGGACAAGACTTGTACTTGCTTCTCCAAGTCATTTACTTTGGATTTAAGACACAAAAGTTCATTCTCCTTCATTTTCAGCCTCTCAGCCATTGCTACTGCAGTATTTTCTTCGCATTTTAATTGCTCCTCCAAGTCATTTGCTTTGGATTTAAGACACAAAAGTTCATCCTCCTTCATTTTCAGCCTCTCAGCCATTGCTACTACAGTATTTTTTTCGCATTTTAATTGCTCCACCAAGTCATTTGCTTTGGATTTAAGATATAATAGTTCATCATTCTTCAATGAGACCCTTTCAGCCATTGCTACTACAGTGACTTCTTTGCATTTTAATTGCTCCTCCAACAATGTCTTATCAGCCTTCAGTTTCAGAAAACATGATTTCTGAAATGGTCCAAGCTCCGGATCAATCCAAGAAAAAAATCTACAGGGTTTCTTTTACAAAGAAGCAAGGATTAGAACAAATCACATCATCTGAAAACCCATAAACTAAGTTCATGTCATAAAACCAAAATTTTTCAAACTGTGCTCGTAAATTCAACTAGTATTTTCAAACTGAGTTCATTTCCTCAAATTCAACTCGCACTTCACATTGAACAGGACAATTCATCTCAGATCGGCCACGCATGAAATAACAAGAACTACACCATATTGCAGTCATATCGGCATAATTGCACTCATATCGACACAAAACATAATCAAAACACCAAATTGCAACAGGAAATCGAACTCACCTCTGTGTTGATGCAACGTCGAAATCGACGACAAGGATTGAGGTAGGTATTTGATGTGAATAAACCTGGTTCGTCTCCACAGCCACATTCTAATTTGAATATCCTTGAATTTGAGCTCGAACTTGCCGACATTTCAGCCCAAAATTGGGGTGATTTGCAGTGAAATTAGGGTTCTCGTTCGTGAATGAAGATTTTGGGGAAAATTAGAGGCACATTTGGCTTTTATACAACCCGACTATGCCACCTCGGCGCTGACTGGGACGCCCGTTTGGTGTGTCCGTCAGTTTTACAAGCCACGTAGGATTTCCGTTAAGGGCAGACCAAACCAGGTATCGGGTTGCGAAAAATGTGAAGGTCGTGTATTTATTTGCCAAGGTCTAAAGGTGGTGATTAAATGGCCAAACACGTAAAGGTCGTGTATTTTCCCGCCATTAAGCCTTAATATTTTATTGCTTTAATTAGTGATTTAGTTCCTTAGGACTTTATTTATTTCCAAGCATTAGGAGTTCTTCTAAGATTAGGAATAGACTTAGTTTGGCATCTATAAATATGCCCCATTGTCATTCGAAAATATCATTCAGAAATTAATAGAAAAACCGAACTTTTGTTCAAACACTTTGCCTTAGATATCTTTTCGATTTCTTTTGCAATTTTATCGTTTCAAGGGGTGCAGTTGTGCAAACCTCGAGACACCTATCGGCGATTCAAGGCACTGGTTTGTGGCTTATCGGCAATCGGGACACGCGATCTTCATCACGCGCTCCTGCCGCGCCGTGAGGGCTGCTGGGGCGAGCGCTCTATGCGCCCGTGGCGCGCTCCGCGCCGTGGTCGCGCGCATGGCGCGCGGCTGCTTTGGCTGCACTACGCGTCTTCACAATTTTGGCTCGTTCGGGCTCGTTTGAACTCGGAATTGAGTTCCGTTTTTTCCTACGCGTAGCTAACGAACCCCTCTATCTAACTATGTAATTCCAACACATATTTTCCTAAAAAATTGTCCTCCCAAAGCTTCTGACCTGCTCACCAAAATTGAAAGAAAAACGAAGAAAACCGGAAATACACATGAAAAACACAGAAATACTCACAAAGACGCGAAACACGAAATAAACGACAAAACGACGCTAAAACCACATAAATAACTCAAATGGGGGAAAAAGAACGAGAAAATAGAAACGAAAAACGTAATAAAAATGGGACAAATAACTCCCCCACACTTAAACCTTTGTTCGTCCCGAACAAAAACAAAAGAAAAGAAAACAAGACACGAGCATGGATATCGGCTTCAAATAAGAAAAGTTTCAAATTCATTGACTTAGCCGATGAGACTTCAAAAGACCAATAAAACACATCTCAATTACAACTTAAACAGTACGCATTGACAAGACAAACTCTCAAACACGGAAATATCATGTATAATGCCTCACTCAGTTTCTTACATAAATGTGAAATGGGAACGCTCAAATTGGTCAGCAATCAAGTTTCAACATAGGCTTGCTTATCGTCTACTTCATACTCTAAAACAACTAAAGCACATGAATTTGCGAATTAAGAGGACTTCACGGGTATAAAGAAGGCACTTGGTTGAGGGAAGGTCAAATATAAAGATAAAATGGCTAGAATGAACAATTATACTCTCGAGCACATAACTACTCGAATATCTCGCCACACCCATCCATAATCAACACAAAGCTAATCACTCCCAACCAAAGATCCATACACATTCACACATGCTCAACAAAGATTGCAAATAAAGTGCCTGACGATATATATATTTTTCGTTCGTTTCTTTTTATTATTATTATTATTTAGGGAGTTTGATTTTTCCTAACAAGATCGAACGTAAGGACGGCATTCCCCAAGTTTAAACAATGGAGGTCATCCAAGTGTCCTGGGGTGGTGTCCCAATACTCGTTACCCGTAAAAATAAATTGACAAGTCAGAGGAGTAGAATCCTCTCTATTCGTCTTGCGAGTCCCCGATTTCTCTTTTTTTTCTTTTTTTTTTTACGACAAGCACTATAAATGCAATTCAATCGAGTTCAACCTCATTCAAACACATAGAAGCTCTGTCATCATCATCATACAATGTTCTGTCAAACCTCAAATATTTCAGGTAAAACGCGTGACAAGAAACACGGCTTAAGGCTCAACGGGCTACTAGCGAAAATATAACTTTAAGGGACAATAAAAAAGGCTAGAAGGAGCAATGCCAAAGAAAAGCCTCAATCATATTCACAAACCACAATTTCAATCGATTATTTCAAAATAGACTCAAGGAAGTTCTGATCAACAAAATTCCGACCATATCTCACAGAAACAGAATAAGGCTCAAACCTCACAAGGCAAATAATATCCAATCAAAACGACCAATCAAGTTCATCAAAATATGTCATCATGATCAACATCACATCTCCTCAACCTCATCAACAAATATCAACAAAACTTAAAATTCACCAATATCCATACTCACAAGACACACAAAAAAAACTAAAACTAGATTGATTCACCACATAAGCATGCTGAATCTAAGTAAACTCCCCCACACTTAAAATGAGCCAATGTCCTCATTGCTTCAACACAAAACCGGGAGCCAAATACAAGAACTAGCAATTTCATGCAATAAACCAATACCAGCAGCTAACACAAGCACACAAACTACGAAGGAAAAGCAGAAGGAAGAAACACGCTCAAAAAAATGTAAAAAGAGAAAAGGTGTGCAAACCGGGGGTGACTCAAGGAGACTAAGCGTCCAGTGCATGCCTTTCGCCCAAGCTCCAAGCCTCGATAGTTCCTGACAAGCAAAAACCACACAACTCCCAGAACTCCAATTATTCAAGAATAAAAACTAAAAATGCATAAACGAAATTAGCTTAGAAAGCGGTAAATATCACTTGGGTTGCCTCCCAAGAAGCGCTTGTTTTACGTCATTAGCATGACGAAACCTGGGGTGACTCATCCAGGGTCTAGGAAAAAGTGACGATCGTGTCACGCCTTTGTATTCTCGAGAAGTGGCAGTGCTGGCTCTTAGGCCAGAAGGCAGCCACTGTGGGCACGAGTGGCTATGTTCTTGATGTAGTGAGTATTTACGAGCAATCCCCAATGTTTGGAGCAGATCCTTCCCCAACCGAGCTCCCTCGTCAACCTCGGCAATCAAAGGCGTATCAATGGAGCAAATCGAAGAAAATACCATCACCTCCGGAAAGCAGTGCAGTGGCCTCGGAGGCGGATGCTCCAACTCGAAGGTGGAAGGAGGGTCTTGTGAATCGACCTCCTCCTCTAATGCATCGTACCCGGCTCGTGGGAGAATGTCATCCTCTTCGGCCTCACACATTTGCTGCAGAATTCGAGCCTGAGGGTCAAGCATGAGGTGTGGGTTGTCGACTTGTGCCTCAATCTAATCGATACGTACAGTGAGGCTCTCTATTTGTGTGCTCAGTCGAGCACATCCGAGCTCAATCTCCTTTTCTTGGTTTGCTCGGGCCATCATCCAATCGAGGATGAGGTCGAGCTTGGCATTGTACTCTGAGGAGTCGTCCTGGAGCTCATTTAGATGCTCGGGCATGGGATGTGGGTCCACAACCTCGAGCTTGTGGGCCTGGGACTCGATCGAGTCCATGCACCTTGCTAGACTTTCCACTTGCTCGCTCAATCGGGCACATCTGAGCTCAATCTCCACCTCTTGTTTCGCTCGAGCCATCAATCGATCTAAGATGAGATCGAGTTTGGCATTGTATGCGGCCTCCTCTTCTCGAGCTGATTTGCAGTCTATGAAGTCCATAATCTGGCTGAGCTTATCATTAAATGCATAGGACTCAGAAGGTTTCTCAATCAGAAGATTATTCCAGCACTGCTCGGAAGAATACGGGTAAGGTTGGGTGTGGTACCCGGGGAATTAGACCGGCTCGTCGTTCCAAGATGGGTAATGCAGGGAGGAGTACCCGTGATTGAAATTCATTATACCTGCACACCAGAACCAAACAACCACGCGTAGCCAAGAAAAAAGAAGAGAAAAGAAGGCAAAAACTAAAACAAGAACAAAAGAGAAAAACACATATGCACAAAAGAAACAAAAACACTAAAAATACTAAAATAAAGAGAAACACAGAAAATAAGATCAAACACCAAAACTAAATATCCTACTTGCCTTCACCGGCAACGGCGCCAAATTTGTTGTAACACAAATTGTTATTTTTACCGAGTACCGAATCTAAAGGTTCGATCCCCGGGTCGATCTCACGAGGAACACGGTTCGGAATTTAGAAATGGTGTTGACAACACACAGAAAGAATATAAAAACCTAAACACTCTAATCAGAAATGAGGAATATATTATCAACTAACAAATCAACAGGAAACAAAAACGAACCTAAAATAAGAACTAGAAAGCGATAAAGAAGCTAGGGAATCGGGGATAATTAATTCAAGTTCTTTTCGTATAGTTGCGCGATAACTTGTACAATTTAAGATTGACACTCTCGCTCAAATATCTAGCGGTTCGCTCCCAATGACTTTTCGAAACAAGGGATTGAATATAGACGAGTGAGTTCGAGCATACAACACTGGTCTAGAGGTCCGATTCCAATAACTCACGTAACAAGGAATGGGACATAGGAAAGCGCGTATTTCAATCCAAACCTATAGACTATTCAGTTACGAAATCGTCTATCTCGTGCGAACCTAGTTCTACAACTTCTCCCCTTTCGGTTTTAAAAGTTGCTAATTAGACTAGAAGAGGATTAATTAACTAATCATTTAGAATCAACACACCCTAACTCAACAATCAATATCCAATTATCACTAATTGCAAGATTGAAGTGTCACTCTTCAATTATATCAATCATTCAAGCAAGGTTCATCAATCCCCAGTTCAAATAATTCGCACAAGAATGAACAATTCAAAGCCCAACAATCATGAATTAAACAAGAACAATCAATCCCCTATCCCTAGCAATTGGATTTAGCCAATCATAATAATTTCAACACAATTAAACAATTTTCTCAAATCAACCATTCTTCATAATTTGAATAAGAGAGAAAAGCTTACAATAAATCCCAATTCAAGTGTTGATTATGCAGCACAAGCTTAATCTAATGATAAATAGAAATAAAAGAGAGAAAATGAGAAGAAAATGTAAAA